TAAAATCTAACAGATTATGAAAATTAATTAAACAAAGAACAATTGACCTGCTGCTCATTAAATTTACTAACTGCAGTAACATAACTTTGCTTCCTTAAAGTAAGATCTGGAGAATTGCTTTGTATTCAAGGTTGTCAAAGTTGGTATGAATTGCCCAATTGAAAATTAGGGCCCATAGCAATTTCCAATATAATCATTACTGTTAAGACTGACAGCCAAAATTTACCAATATCATATGTTTCCCTTACCTTTAGAAACATGACAATATGACAAATCCACTGATATTTCTTCTCTCTGATTTAAACCAGACAGTCCTGTGGTGCATCACTCTCACTGTCACATTCCAAATTGCCAACCTCCTTCTACCAATAACATTTAACAAAAAACAAAAAGATCAAAATAAATATGGTTGTTAATAGCACTTTATTAATAATCAGGCCAAGCAGTATGCTAAAATGACTAATATCAGCTGATGATAATAATAATAATAATAATAATAATAATAATAATAATAATAATAATAATAATAATAATAATAATAATAATAATAATAATAATAACAACATCATTGATCTCATGGAGAAAATGGAGAAATCATTTTTTCGACCACATCCAGGATGTTGCAGAGGCATCCTGCATTTTGTATCTGTCAAAAATTAAAAATTTTTTCCTGATATTTCTGACCAGAGACCTTTGTGACCTTTTAGTTATGCTGTGTGTGGATGTGTATATTTGTTACCTTGTCAGAACAGTGTATAGCCATTTTTAGCACGAATATGTAAATTGTGGGGACTTGCAGGTACTTGTTGGGATGAGTTAACTGGTTATTATGAGGGAAAGTTCTCTTCTGGAGTTGAGTTAGTTTTGTAATGTGTAAACTGAGTTTAGTTAGCTATATCGTGGTACTGGTTAGGTGAAGGGTCTGGGTTAGGCCATAAAAATTTATAACAAATGAAAGGAAGTCAGTGCAAAGTCTCCAAAAGGACAGTATGCGTGTGTGAGCATGAACTGATTAGTCTTATCTTGATGGATCTTCAAGATAAGTCCAATAAAAGACAGGGTTTGCAATTTAGCTATTGACTAGACAACCTCTTTACAAAAAAAACAAACAGCTGAATTGTTGTCATGTGTAATACTCTTTCTCTCTTTCTCTTTTATGTATTGTCCTTGACCAAAGAAACTTAACAAACATACATATAAACACGCAGTAGGTGCACTTTGTGACATTTTTATGTATGGAGGACTTTTCAACAAAGTTTTCAGAGTGGAACAAAAAGTGCCTTTATGGAAATTAAAACAAGAAACAAGCCTGCCATCAACTGTCAGCAAACAAACAAACAGGAAAATGTTTTTAAAAAACTGAGGCAATAACATGTCGGGAGGTCCTAATTCAATATTATTATCAGAAATTAGTCAGGGTCGGTACTCTCTCCATTCCTTTTTACATTGGACACCACTGACTTCCAGTACCAGACAGAGTCCTGTCATCTACAGAAATACTCAGATGACCCTGTAGTCATTGGGTGCATCAAAGATGGACAAGAAGCTTCGTACAGGGAGCTGGTGAGGAGCTTTGTGGCATGGTGTGGAAACAATCATCTGGTCCTGAGTGTAAACAACACAAGGAAGATGGTTGCAGATTGCAAAAGAAACAGGAACAAGTTGAAATCTAATAACATCAAAGGAGACGATGTGGAGGTGGTTGAGGGGTATAAATACCTTAGAGTTCACCTGGACAACAAACTAGACTGTGAAGCCGTCTATAAGAAGGGACAGAGCAGATTGCACTTTCTAAAGATGCTGCATATCTTCTGTTGATATAGTCTGTTGTGGAGAGTGGGATCTCCTCTGCCATCATCTGCTGGGGTAACAGCATTAGAGCTAATGACTTACAAAAGCTCAACAAGCTAATTAAGGCTGGTTCTGTTCTAGGAACTCCTCCAGAACCTCTTGAGATTCTTTCATGAAGATTTCTTCATTAAGTGAAGCACATTACGGAAAACAATGAGCATCCTCTTCAGAAGATTTTTAAACAACAACAGAGTGTCCTCAGTACAAGGCTTCTCCAAATCTGATGCAAGACGGACTGATGCAGAAGATCCTTTCTGCCCACAGTTATCAACACCTACAACACACCTGTTTAAAAATATACCATATGAGTTACTGCACCATTTGATTTTCCTTTAGGATTAATAAGGTATTTTGGATTGAACTGAATCAACCGAAAATCAAATATCTGAATATACTGGGCCTGCATCTAAAACCTCCAAGAAGCTGATAGGAACACTACACTTTTCTTCACTTCTGTTTAAGGTTTATGTAATAATTTTTCAAATAATACATGGGTCAGTTATTCTTAAAGCAGTTTTGTTTTACTATTATTCTCTATTTGAACAATATAATTTGATTAAAACTTTTCTATCGGGTTATATCGGGTCAATGACTGTATTGGTCAATACTCCATGCCGCTACACGAGTATCGTATTAGAAATCAAAAAGCTGCATCAGGACATCCCTAATAAAATAGTTGTTAAACGACCAAAATGTACCTGTAAATTAGAGTCAGATGTTCAACAAAGTTAACAGTAAAAAAAGTTTCGCTATCATACAACATAATAGAGATAAATATATATGAATATGTATATTAAATATATATATTGTTTAACTCTGAGAAATATGGCAGAGGATTAGGGACACTAAAAAAATAAAACAATTTTGACAGATTTTTAAATTTTATTTCAGTTTAATATGGGGAAAAAAGTCAAAATTCTGATTTTTTTTCTCATAATTTGACTTTAATCTCACAATTCTTACTTTTTTCTCAGAATTCTGACTTTAATCTCATAATCTTGGGTTTGTAGATAGGCGCCATGAAGGAAGAGAAGTGGGAGGGTAGGAAGAAGAAGAAGAAGAAGAGGTTGTTAATTCTGTGTGACTCCATTTTAGGAAGAAGATTGGATGGTCGTTTGGTGCATGGCGCGTGTTTTGAAGCTGCTTGTGGAGAAATGTCCTGGGCCGTGAGTAGTGAGGAAACAGGAAGCGATTCTTGTGGGATGGAAGAGGGAAATAGTGACAATGAAGGTTGGAAGATAGCAACATCAAAAAATGAGAAAAAGCGGAAAAAACAGAGATCAGTTAAAGGGGAATCTAGTTCAGAACAATCCAGTGATGAGCAATCCATACATTCCACAGCACAACAAAATTAATTCAAAGTCATATTCAAAGTCGTTAATCAGGCAGACTCTTTTACAAATTGGAATCCGGTTCACTTAACAAAAACCATCAATAAACTTGTCGGAGAAGTCAAAGGTGCCAGAATTCTGTACAGTGGAGACCTGCTAATTAACTGCAGAGACAGCGCCCAGCAAGGCAAAGCCATACGATTCAACAAAATTGACGGGATAAGAGTTCAGTGCAGCTTAATGGAGAACAAAAAGATCAGCAGGGGAGTCATTGGAGGAGTTCCTCTAAAAATTTCTGAAAAAGAGATTCTGGAAAACATAAGCGGTGCAAAAGTAAAAGAAGTAAAACGGTTAAAAACAACAAGAAACGGAGAACGATCTGACAGTTTATCGGTGTTAATTAAATTCGAGGAAGAGCAATTACCAAGCAAAGTATTCATCGGTTACATAAGCTATAATGTCAAAATTGAGATGTTTCAAATGCCAAAAATTCGGACACATTGCAGCAGTTTGTAAAGGGAAACAGAGATGTGGAAGGTGTGCAGGAGAGCATGAATATGGTAAATGTGGAAAAGAAGCTAAAATAAAATGCTGTAATTGTGGTGGAGAACATACTGCTGCTTATCGTGGTTGTGAAGCAAGCAAAAGGTCTGAGGAAATAAAAAAATGAAATTTGAGCTCGGAATAACCTACGCTGAAGCTGCAAAAAGGATCCAATCTCAGTCAGAAAAACCCAAACCTACAGTTCAACACACAGCAAATTCCAAACCTCTAGAGAAATCTCCAAAAATTGATGAAGACTCATTAATTGTTAAAAAAACAAATTTTGTTCTTTTCATGGTGGAAGTGATTAATTGTACTGCACAGACAACAAAAAAAACAGAAAAAATCAAAATAATAGTGAAGGCTGCAGAAAAATATCTGGACGTAAAAGATTTGAACTGGGAGATGGTTGGAAGCATGATGGGAGGACCGATGGGACCATCAGAAACTGGCAGAATTACGATGACCTAGAGTAAATTAAAATTATATGGGCAAATGTGATTTAGTATTATGTGGGTTTAAGTTACACAGGTTTTTTTTTTTTTTTTTTTGGGGGGGGTGAATCGTTTCCTGTTTCCTTGCTTTACTCCATATCAGTTGGTGGCGGTAATGCACATTTCACAATTGTTTGGAAGGGTCAGTAACACATTGGTGGAAAATTATGCAATTATTCAACCATTTACGAGCTGCAGAAAGAAGTCGTTGAGCGGTAGAGCAGAAGGTAATTAAAACAAGAGAGCCAGTCTCTAAAATAGACATGGCTACGGCTTAATGCTAACATGTTTGTTAGCTTTAAGAATTCTGAGATTAAAGTTAGAATTCTGAGATTTAAGTCAGAATTCCGGGAAAAAAGTCAGAATTCTGAGATTAAAGTCAGAATTCCGAGAAAAAAGTCAGAATTCTGAGATTATAAAAAAAGTTTGAAAAAAAGTTATTTTTGTATTTCTTTTCAGTATAATATGAGAAAATATTATCCTGATATTATACTGAAATAAAATTCTAAAATCAGTCAATTTTTTTTCAGTTGCCCTATTCCTCTTCCATAGAGAAAATTCTAATCACAATATTAATTAAATAGTCAAATTAATCTGAAAAAGTAAAGTTAAGAATACAAATTCTGATATTTTATAGTTTTATTTTTTAGGAGGAATTAAAAAAAAAAATCAACCATACACAAAAAAACTACATTTCCCATGTATTAGTATACAAATAATGATTGACAGTAACTGTGTCCAATCACAGGAGCTGAAACATCCACGCTACCGCAGTGGGCTGGACCATCTAGCATAGGAACAGGGGCTTCAGACGGTTAAACGTTGCTTTACACGCCTTCTAATCTTTGTTTTTGTGGGCAATTATATGTTTTACATTTTTTTAAACGCTGCGACCATTTTGAAAGGACTGCCAACCAAGACAAACGAGTGTATTAAGTATCAGAGAAGAGCACGCGGCGGGCCGGACGGCAGTAAATGAGAGGTAAGGGCAAAGAAGGGCCCGCCGTTGTGGCCGTAGAGCTGCGGGGAAAAGTGGCTAGCGCCGCCTGACGGACCGCCCGACGTACCGGGCCGCCGCTGTCAGGAAACAGCGGTGACTAGAAACAGGTCTGCATCATCCGAGGGAGCGCCGCCAACAGCTCTCCATACGCCATCACACATTGTAAACAATTTACGACTTTATTTGGGAAGGAATTGAATCATTTTGGGGGTTTAGTCAGTCTAGCTCCTCATGTTAGCATCAATGGGCCTTTAGCTAACGACCGTCTGTTTGTTCCCGCGTTTCTCTTATCATCCCTTTGTGAACATTACAGGGTTTTTTCGTTTATCAATATATGTTTCTCTCTACATGTCAATAAAGATTACTGTTTAGGATCTAAATTGCACCTTTCAAAGTTACAGAACTTCTTTTTGTTGTCATTTCTCGCAGCTGTGCCTGAATGCCACATTTGTAGATACCAGAAGTTGCCTTCATTCACTGATTCTGGTTCAGACTTCTGCCCATGATAAACTCACAAGCATAACAAGTCATCAGCCTCGCTGTCACACTTCCACGATGACTGAACCGGACCAGAACGAGGCAGAGGACATGTACGTGGAGCACCAGTACATGTGCAGCGAGTGCCAGCAGCTTTTCAGCACCCTGGAGGAGGTGCTGATCCACCAGCAGATCCACACCACCCAGGAAGCTGATGGTGAGGGAGCGGAGATCCAGACTGCCCCAGACTTCAGTCAGAGTCAGCACTACCAGTGTCTGGAGTGTGGGAGCCTGCTTGTTAATGCAGAGGAGCTGCTGCAGCATCAGGAGATGCACATGAGGGAGGCTGGGATGGAGGTTGAGCAACAAGGTGATCATCACATCTGTAAAGTAAAAGACTAAATATTAAACGTCCTGTAACAGATTTCTTTTTTACTTTTCCATTTCATTACTTCCACATACTTAAACCTATTTAACTATTATTTTAATAAAAGAGGAGCACGGAGCAGTTTATATAAAGTAAAATAACATGGATTTCAATTTTTTTGTGTGGAATGTCTAACAACTGCTCATTGCATTAATAACAAAAAATCTTTTAGTGTATTTCTTGCATGAAACAGCTAGAATTTTACAGTGTTTTATTCGAAACAGCTGGATCTTAGAATGGATAGAGAGAATGCCTTTGAACATACATTTCCAAGTCCCAGCTCAAACTCTTATTTGGTGTAAATCTGATCCTTTTGGTCATTCAAACACATGGTACACTACTGTGAAAAAGGCATTTGCATTTTTCTTTTAAATTAACTTTTTTGTCACCTTTATAGTGTTAGAATCATTAAACTAAATCCAGATTTCAAATAAAATGAGAGTAAAACACATAGGTTTAAAAGTATTCCTTGATCTATTTAGAGGAAAACTGATCCCCAAATGAACCCGGTCCTATGTGGAAAATAAGTAACGGCCAACATTACCTAATAGGACTCACAAGAGTTTTTTTTTTTATTTGGAAAAGGCTTCTGATCTATAATGCCTCTTTTTTTTTTAGACTAAGACTTAGGAAACTTTTATTGTCAATTTATATTCACAGAATGTATGCAAAATGAAATTTTGTTTTGTATGGCTTTCATGACATTTCCCTTTCTTAAAGTGCACCAAAGATCAAATGTAAACAGTGTGGGAGAAAATGATTATGTTGTTTTGGTTTTAAAAAAGTTTGAAATATAAAAATTTGCTATGTATAACCTTCACACGATTGTTTCTGAAGGATTAAAAAAAAACAAATCCGTTGAGATTTTTCAGTTTTCCAACACGGAAACGAAGCCAGTAAGATAAGAAGAGATTTGAACTAACAAGATACAGAATAACTTGTAACCTAAACCTGCTTTAAACATCTAAACACTTTGTCTTCAGTGGAGTCTGAGGTCCTGGAGACAGAGGAGGCCACCTCGGAGGCTCAGGTCCACGGACCGGTTCAGTACCAGTGCCTGGACTGTCTGGCTCTGTTTGATTCCCCTGACACCTGGTTGGAGCACCGCCGAACACATAGCAGGAGCAGCACACACAGCAACACGACGGCGGCTGTAAGACACCCGAAACAGCTGATCCATCACCGGCAAACCAATCAGCTTCCAGCTGATCTGTCACTGTTGTAAATATGTTAAGCTGCAGTTCAACAACATCATGCCGGGAGAGATTCCTCTGCTCAGTTAGTTTCTTAGGGAATGTCTTGCAAACCTTATATAACCAACATACAGATACTTTTAATTGGTGATGATGATCCCATAGAAAATGCTGGATTTATATGAATGTTCTTAGACTTATGGTCACTTTAGTAATTATTCCCAACCTATTATATTACATTAACCACATTTTTGACATTTTTTTTTTAAATATATTTTCCAGAAAAGTAAGCTGTTGTTTTTGTTTTTGTGTTGACAGGAGTACATGGTGCAGGCGGACGGCTCTATCACTCCTATCAACATGCAAAAATTTGTGCTGAGTGAGCAGCAGGCTGGAGAAATCCTGGCACAGGTGCTTTGTCTACGCTCCATATAACGCTATGAGTGTTTGTTTTGTCTGACTTTTTCAGGGAAACTAGTATTTAATATTTAAACTGTTTTTGACAGTTTTTTTTTTTTTTTGTCAGGAAAAATATCCAAATCTGTGTTGGATATGAGATTGTATATGTTTATTGTCTGAGTGAAAGGCTCCATGTTTTGGACGTTGCTTGAGCTTCTCATCGTTTTCTTGTGTTTGGCTTTTTTAGGTTCTTTCACAACAGCAGGGACAGCAGCAGCAGCAACAACAGAAGAAACGTAGGTCTACCCCCAAATCGGCCGGGGCGTCCCGCTCCTACCTGCTGCCCCCTGTGACCCCGACTCCTGGCTCTGCCACCATGCACCTGCAGATCCTCACAGCTCAAGCTCTGGCTGAAGGCTCCTCCATCTCCAGCCAGCATCGCTCCAAGCAGCCCCCTCTGCTCTCTGCTCTGGGTCAGAGCTCTACTGCAAAGCTGGAGGTTCTGGAGAATGGCGTTCAAAGACTGGAGTTAAGACTGGCCCCCAGTGAGAGCCAGCAGCAGCAGTCCACTGAGATGGTGCTCGTTCACCCTTATGAATGCTCGGAGTGCTCCCTACTTTTCAGCACGCCAGAGGACTTCCTCCAGCACCAGGGGGAGCACTTCCTGGGCCAGGACAAAGAGAGCGGTGGGCCGGGGGTCATGATCGGAATAGAGGAGATGCGAGGGAGGGAGGAGGCTGCAGAAAAGCTACAGGATCTGAAGAACAGGGCAGTAGAGTATAAAACACTAGCTGTGGGCAAACCCCTACGCTGCGAGCTCTGCAACCGCACCTTCACCTCTGTCAACCGGCTCACAGCTCACAGGCGTGTGCACGAGCAAGGGACACACGAGTGTCCGGAGTGTGGAAAAGTCTTCAAGAAAGCCCTTTCACTGCAGACGCACATGCGCGCACATTCAGGAGTTGCACGGTATCTGTGTGTGGACTGTGGGAATGGATTCACTACTGAGATGACGCTCGTCATGCACAGGTCAGTGTTTGGTCACAGTAAGGGGGTCAAAGTCTGTATTTCCAGAAGAATTTAATTAGGACTTAAGTACAGAGTAAGCCTTGAATATTTACTACCTGTTATCAATAGAAGGAGGCTTCTGCTAAGATTAATGAGCTTTAGGTTAGGACTCTTCAACTGTAAAAAGCAGGAAAGGCTTACATTGACTGAATCCTCGCATCAGATCAGATCAGCCCATACTGACTGAAAGGTTTTCTGCTGAGAAAATGCAGAAATTGAACAAACATGTCTCTGCCTGGCTTTGCTTATTGCCCAATAATGTGCTCATGTCATTTAAGAAACGGAAGCTCATTCTAAAGGTAAAGAAATCTTGAAAGGGCCTCAAAGACGTGCAAATAAAGTTTTATTTAGTTAGTCGAGGAAATCTCCACGTGGAAAAGGATCAATAGAAGTGAAAACAGTTTAATAATAATAGTCCAAGGCTACAGCGGCATCATCATAATTATAATAAAAGGCAGAAGTTTGACCTTTGCTCTTTAGAAAGGTCATTAAAACAGAAACATTTTATGATGTTAAGCTCCGATTTAGTTAAAGCCAGCAGGTTTATCTAAAATCTTTTATTTGAGCCTCTATCGGTAACTGACTGGTATATTTGTCTGAATGTTTAAAAGAACCTTTGTTTCTGTAATAAAATCTGGGTTAATGCTGCCATGCTGGTTATAACAGATGAAGGAGGTACCAGCTATGATGCTGCTGCGTTAATTTTAGGTTCATTCATACATTTACCTTTGTCAGCATATAATATAACCTAACATTCATGGTGTACTGAGTCTAAAGATCACTTTAGGATTCATTTAAATCTAATTGATGCTTTCAGCTTTTCCTTTCAATAAACCAATTTTTCCAAGTGGGAACCAGCATCAGGATACAGGGAGCCGGGTGGGAACTTGGACCCCTGTTATAAATGCTTCCTATTGTTATTTGCTTATTTTTGTCGACCGTTTCTTTGTTTTGATCCTTTTCAGAAAGATACACGTTGCAGATCCATTTCACAAGTGCCAGATCTGCCACAAAACGTTCACCAACATGACTAAATACCTCTACCATCGTCGGACCCACCTCTGCCAGGATTTAGCTCCGGTGGCTGCTCAGATCTTTGTGGTGAGAAATGACACAACACCCCCCACTGATTGTATTGTTTCAGCAGCCTCAGTGTAATATGATCTTTGTTCTCTAGGCTTCACCTCCACAAAGAGCATCTGCTACTGCGCTGGAGATCCTGCAGAGAGCAAGAGAGAAGAAGAAATGCCAAAGTGAAGAAAGAGGCATCAACCAGAAAGACCCTCCCACAGAGGAGGAGGAGCCTGAACCACAGCGGGAACCACAGCCGGGGTCTCAGCGCCCTGTGAAAGCAGGTGGAGAAGGGGAGGAACAGGATGACGGCAGGAAGCAGGAGTCCGAAGCAGTTGAAGGAAATGTTGATGAGCAGCAGGAGGTTGTTATGGAAGGAGCCACGATCTCCATTTCTCCAGATGAAGCTACGTCCACTTCAGGCTCTGCAGCCTCAGGGGAAGCCCCCTCCTCGGCAGACAAAGGCTCCTTTTGTTGTCGTTTGTGTTCGAAAACGTTTCCTTCCCAGCTGCTGCTTGCTCACCACCGTAGTAAATCCCACGCGTCACAGCGCAGATTTGTATGCGGCGTATGTGGGAAGTCCTTCAAGAAACAGATTCATGTGCAGAACCACATGCGCATACACACAGGGGAGAAGCCCTTCCAGTGTTCGGACTGCGGTAAAACCTTCTCCTTGTTGGCCAATTTGATGCGTCACACCCTCATCCATTCTGGGGTTCGCCCGTACCGCTGTGATGTGTGTTATCGCTCCTTTTCCCAATCTTCCAACCTCCGCCAGCACAGCCTGCTGCACTCAAGCGCCCCAAAACTTACCTGTCCAGAATGCCCCGCCACATTTCGCTGGCCCAACAAACTTGCGGCGCACCGCTTTACTCAGCATCCTGGAGCTCCGGCTCCTTTTCCCTGTCCTCATTGTGAAGCCGGCTTCCTGACCAAAAGTCGGAGGGAAAGTCATTGTGTGGAGCAGCACCCCACGCTGGTCCAGGCTCCAGAGAACACGGAGGTCCACAACCCCTCAGAACCCTCTACTTCAACAACAGTGGTAGAGTCAGGAGATGCAGCCAGTTTGGTTAAAGGAGCCTTGGACTGTAACATCTGTGGGAGAAAGCTTAACTCTCTTTCTAACCTGCGGCTTCACAGACTGAGCCACTTCGTTCCGGGCCGTGCGCGCCCACAGCGCACCCAAGGAAAGCGTCCCAAAGCTCACCAGTGTCCCATCTGCGGCAAACTGTTTGTGTCGTCCTCTGCGGTCGTGCTCCACCAGCGCGTCCACACCGGCGAGCGCCCGTTCCCCTGCCAGGTCTGCGGAAAGCGCTTCCGTCAGAACACGCACCTGCGAGAGCACCTGCGCACCCACTCTGGCGAGCGGCCTTTCCGCTGTGAGATCTGCGGAAAAGGTTTCATCCAGAGCATGCACCTGACAGAGCACCGCAGGACGCACACGGGCGAGCGGCCGCACGTTTGCCAGCTGTGCGGCAAAGCCTTCAAGACCTTCTCCAACCTGAGGAATCACAAAAAGACCCACGCGAGGCAGCAGAGACTGGACGAGGAGGCGGCCGCTGCAGAGGCCAGCAGCACGGCAGTGGCAGTGGTGGATACGTCATTGATGGACCTGGCTAACGGGCAAACTCAGCTGATCCAGATCCAGACCTCAGATCTGCAGCAGGTATCCATCACATTCGGAGATTAGAGCAATAGTTATAAATCTAAAATGTTTAGTTTTAGTTTAATGCAACGTTTAAATGTTTCATTTATAGAAAAGTTCTTATTTGGTTTCTTTAAATCTGTTGTGTTTTAGAGGGTTATAACGTCACTACAAAACTTTAACCTCACATAATCCAATTCCTTTTAAATTCCTTATTATTTAAACAGAAATGTGCTTGTTGGGTCAGTGTAACAGGGTGTGGATACAAAACAGCACGACTCGTTTTATCTTCAATCACCACTATAGCCCCATTTCCACTGAAAGCCCCAGGCTTTGTATTACCGGCTAATAGGAATCCCATCCTGTTTGTTTTGCATTACTTGGAAAGGCCCCTGGACAATAATGCAAATCAACATAGCGACATATTTGCCAAAAAACGTAACAAAACCACATGTTGGAGCACTAACGTAAACATAGTCATACTACATTCACACCAAATGCGATTTCAGCTGCAAAAAATATTCTGCTGCTTCATTTTTGATGCCTGTACACATAAGATCCGACGCGCCTCAAGAGCATCTTTGATGTTACAAAATGCAGGCACCAGATAAATACAAGTGAAAGAAGTAAAAAATATTTTGCTGGCAGGTTTCGACATTTTAAGTTAATGTAGGCTTTAATAAACTGTTTCAGGGGAGTGATCACACCGCTCTGCATCAGCAGTGCTGTGTCTGTCTCCCTGCCAGCTCCCAGATCGGCTTCTCTGATCGGTTGATGTGGCACGTCGTGCAGCAAAAGTTGAATTTTTTTCAACTCCAGCATCTGCTGCTTGTGCAGTGCGTCCAGCGCATCACATGCTCATGTGGCGCCGCTTCAGATGCATCAAGACGCGCTGCTCCTGCTGCTTTAGACGTACTGCAGGAACTTTTGATTCACGTCAACCATAGTCTTTGCATATAAACCGGCTGCTTCTGCTGCTCAATACTGTCCGGTGTGAACGTAGCATATGTGTTTCTGTATGAACTTTCCCTTCACTGTTACAAGTTATAAGTACAGGCAACTTACAGTCCATGTCAAAGATCTTCTGTATGGAAAAGCAAAGCATGTTTTGCAAAGCCTGGGACTATTCTTGTCACTGATTCCCTTATAATCTTCTTCTCAGGCACAGGGGACCCCCACCATCATGTGTAACGAGTTTGGAGAGACCATCGCCATCATTGAGACCAGCGAGGGCAGCGCTCTTCCTCTGGAGCAGGCGCTGGAGATCTATCAAAGAGCTTTGGAGAACGGCCTCACAGCTGGCAGCGTTGTGGATGGGCTGCAGCTGCTTTGAGGACGTGTCGACCAAACCTGGATCGTTGCTCAATATAAGTCTGAATACTGACTAACTTACTGCTGTGTGGGGAAACGGGACTCATGTCAACCACGTGTTTATATAATGAATAATAAGACCAAAGTATGTCAGGTTTGCTCCTTTTTCCTCAAGGGGGGACCACTGTTGATATTTTATGGAATCGACGCCATTTAAATTAAAAATATGTTAGATGTAAATATGGATAAGTGTTTCTGACTGATTATATTTATATGACAATTTTTATCACAATGAAATGGATGTTTTGTTCTATTTAAAAATGTCAATGTTTTGTTTTAAATGAGAAAAATAAAAGTTTTTTTCTTAGTTTTTCTACATCTGTTCTTTACAGGTACTCAAATGGACGTGTATTTGGACCATTAATTGTTCTGCACCCCTGATCCCCCCCTAATGATGCTGTTAAAGGATGTTAATACAAAACAAAAAACATTTTATAAAGTTACAAAAGAAACCAGCTAATCAGTGAGCAACGTGAGGCACAAACCTAATAAAACTACATCCTTTTGTCCTTGAGCTCTGGAATTAAATCCTCACTGTTTTAGTAACTTTCTCAGCTCCATTGACACTACATCCAGTGTATCTTTAATCTCCCTGTGAAACTCATAATCAGGAACAGTCCCTAACATCACATGATCTTCACTAACCTACCCACCTTCACAAAATAAGATGCCAATTAACTTATACAACATAATTTGCAGAAAAACAATTGGTAAAAAATAGATTCTCCTCCATGAACCTTTGCCACTCCAAATATATTTTTATAATATAGTATAGCCAGTGTTAAAATGTTGAGTATTACATGATATGATCCCTTTCAGTTTACTTGCAACAATATCTCATGAATTGACATTTTAAGGAATGTTAGTTACCATCTTATGTATTCAAGGTCTGCCAACGTAATTAACCAGGGCCAGACATGAATGGGCTCTATGCACAACTAGGCTACTTCCTGGGCGTCAGACAGCTCTTTGTCTTTTTCTACTGGATGATCTGATTAATCCGGGTGTTCCTGACCTCATTAACCATGGCCAGACACACCTGGATTATTCAGTTAATCCAGTAATGAAAAACAGGAAACAAAAGAGCTGCCTTAAATTCAGGAAGTAGTGTTGTGCATAGGGCTTATTGTGACCTTAACGCTAGTTGGCCAGTAGGTGGCAGTGTGTGGGTGCCACAAAAAGCTCAGTGAACAAGTATGTGAAAATATATACTTTCCAAAACCTCTGTGGGAGATATTGGTGCGATGTGTGATCAGTGATGTCATTAGAATATTTGAAGGTAAAGGAATAAAATATTAAATATTGTTTTATTTCCACAGCTAGAAATTAAAACATCTCCATTGATTCCCATTTTCATAATGAAAGATTTAAAGCTATTTTTACTTCTAAAATTCATTCAAGTCAACAGAAATCAGACAAAACACAACATATATAGTCATATTTATTTTTCCTCAGTAATGATAAAAGTCAACATTATGCTCAATGACAGATTGTTTTCCATATCAATGAGTCGGCTGACTCTACAGTAATTATTTACAACACAACCAAGTCTTCCACAAAGACACCACCAGTATTATTTCCTACCAGCTCTCTTTTGATTTGTTCCCTCCCTTCTATTCCTCCAGTTTTTTTCTCTACCCTTAAAAAGGTCAGGAGAGAGCAATAAAGTGACAAAAGGAGGAAGGAGGTGAGGACAGAGGAGGAGGAAGGAGAAGTATTAAGTGTTGAGATTATAGAAATGAACTTCAGCGAAGGTAAGAGGCATACGGGGTCTTCTAAACAGACGACTGATTACTGCTGAAACGACATAAAAAAAAAGGTTCCACGCTGTTTGTAAGAATTAAGAAGAATTGCACCGCAGGTCCTTGCTGAGGTGAGAGGCCAGTCAAGGGAAGACTACAACGGAGGAACTGTACAGGTGTGGAGCAGCATGTCTCACCTGCCTCCAAATATCGGTAATAAAATAAAGCAGAAGAGAAGAAGAAATGTAATGTTGGCAGAAAGTATTTAAAAAAATCTGCCAGGAGAACAAAACATTGATTCGCTTAAATGATATGAGGAGTAATAACCATAAGAATAGTACAACAAACTGAATATGACCATGTTAAATATAAATCCAAATATAAAAAGAAGTAAATAAACTGCTTGGCAACAGAGGATTAAGGACCTTTTCCAGCCCAGCCTCGGCCTCTGAGAGCCAGGATGTGCCCGGTGACTCCGACCCTCCTTCCTTCATGGCAAACAAATGAGGCACAGGAATGCTGACTTCCCACCTACTGGCATGTGTTCTGGGTCGCTGAAAAATGGAGACCCTGGTTGGTCAGGTGTGTGCGGGAATGATGGCACCGCCAGAGGTCCACCTTAAGTTTCTGAAACCCTCCTGGTAAACCTCCTCTGAAGGTCTACAGGTGAGGAAATGATCTGTCGAGGTCCACTGCAATAAGTTCCCCCCATAACGAACCATTGCATCGTTTCCAGCTGCTGAGGGCCCAGCCCCCAACGGCAGCAGGAATAAATCACAAGCTTACAACAGTTAAGTATACATACAGGTTGTTCCTTTAGCAGACGCTTTACTGCCTTTACTCTCCTAAAATGATTAAAAACAGAACAAATATCAAAACATAGATCAACTACCTCTTTTTCAATTCCTAACTGGTCGCCGGTTCAGCCAAAGCGGATTTGCGGATCCGAAGCGGGAACAGTTTCATCTTCAAGGCAAATGAGTGCAGCTGTACATGACGGTCCTTTGATGGCTGGCGTTCTTTGAGGCGGTTAATACCGAGTGCTGATTCAAGTCTGGAAATGAACTGTTTCTACTTTCTGCACCACTTGTTTTTTTAAGTGTTCCTATTTTTGGTGTGAGAGTCACAGGAAAAAAAAAAAAAAAGTCCAAATACTGCAAACAAAAATGTCTCACTCCTAACAGATATGGATGAGTGTGAGGGTGGAGGAATGTGAGATGAGGAGTTAGTGACTGCTCAATCTAATGCATCCCAATCACTCATCTAGAGGAGTCCTGTGACTCACGAAGCTCCTCTGGACTCGCAGCGTTTCCCTGTTCCACTTCTTCATCATGCAGGTCTCCACCTCCCTTCCCAGATCCCTCTGCTGACTGGGAGCCCGAAGGCCCTGGAGCCGACGAAGCCGAGTCTGTAGGGCCTAAAGCGGAGGCGTCTGACGGCGCCGCTGTCTGCATGATCTTCTGTCGAACCTCCCTGATCTTCAACTGCAGACACACCTTGGAAGGAAATATGTCGGAGTATCTTGTCTGGAATGCCGCGGTGGCCTGAGCTGCAAGCAGCAGGAAAAGGTTGTTAAAAACTAACCCTTCAGCTCATCGTTTGCACAGAAACACGGGCTGTGAGGGAGTACCTGATGGAAAGAAGCCCTGCTCCTGGAACAGCTGCATGACCAGCGCCCTCCTCTGGTCAAGAGTTCGTCTCAGGGACGAGTACGGCACCTTCTCAAACTCCAGTTCTGCCAGAATGTCTTCTCCATCTGTAGCTGGATCATAAACATCACAAAGAGATTAAAACTTTTTTCATTTTTAAATGGGCTTTGACTGGCACCACAGCATATTACAATATACAGAATAACACAAATAATTTAAATGAGAATCATAACATTAAGTGTCTTTATCTCCCTAAAAATAAATGCCAAGAACAAAAAAATAAATATTTATGTGTGGATATGTTTTTTTGGGGCGAGATTTTTTTCTGTCTCAAATGTTTTTTGGAATTATTGTGATTAGGGAGATAAAAAGCTCATTAGCTGTTTTTTTGTCTTTTTTGCTCTTTTTCTTTGTTTCTTTTTTTCTTCTATGTTTCATTATGTTTTTTGGCTGTGTGTCCATGTCTACTTTCTTCATCTTAAAGAACTTAAAGAATAAAAAAAAGAAAATGATCTCGTTGGGTTTCATTAGCTGCATGTTTCCCAGGTCTCAAAACAACTCAATGCTGGAGTTTGCTACCAGTTCATCAGTTTCCTTCTCACTGCTCTGGGGCATCTGGACCAACTTGGTTGACCTCTAAATTAAAATCCAGCCAAGTCAATTTTATTTAAAAAGCAGCAAAGCACTGATCGCAGGGTTGACTATGAAGGAAATACTAGAAATGATTAAATAATTTACTTTGCCTCATTAGACCAGGATCAAATTATCCTTCAGTTAATGTTAATAACACAATTTGCAATAATAATAATAAAAAATGTTCAATATTCAATACTGTTTAACTATAATTTTAATAGAACCCAGATTCTGATTTTGCCTTTATCACCATATAACATCCATGGTTTTCCATTCTAAGTGTAATGTTGGACTATAACCAGAGGTTTTTCGATGTTCAATAAACTTCCTCTATATATAAATCCATGATTAACATCCAACCTGTTTATTACCTGCTCTGTCGAAGGTGAAGATATCTCCTTCACACTTGGCGGCACTTTTAGGCGTGTTGGGCTCAGAGCTGCAGCTGGAACGTCGTCTACTCTTCCTCTTCGGAGAGGCTTGTTCGTCTGTCGCAGAGTCCAAATCTGAAATTTAGATGAAAACTTTTTGAGCAATCAAAGATTAATAATATTAATAGCTTGTAAGGAACATCTATAAACCAATAATAGCCATTTTAACAGCTAAACCAGCTGACAGTGACTAAAACTTAAAGTTTAAAAGGCTGTGATAACAGACATTAACATGGTGTTTTATGATATGATCACTTCTTATACTGTTCAGCTCCAGCATCCATTTAAAACATTCACGCTAAGAGATGCAAAGCCATGAGGATAGAGACCTGTGGAGTTCTTCCTCTTGCGGCGATAGCTGCCCAGGATGGCGCGAGGTGAAGTGGCCAGGCTCTGCAGGGTGGGTGAAGGCAGAACCTCTTCTGGTCGAAACTCAGGCAGCTCTGCAAACCGTTCCTCGAAATATACCTCGGACAGAACCCTGCCAGTCCAACAGACGCACACCAAACATACAGCATATATACACTGTCCATCCATTACTTGTACACCTAACGTTCCCAGAGGAAATGACTCACTTGTCGACGGAGTCGAAGGTCTTCTTTAGTGGTGGTGGGCGGGCTTTGATCCTTTTGGGAGTGGGGCCGTCTTTGTCGGTTTGTGGGGGAGGCAAAGCGGGCTCTGTGGCTGATGGAGGGGGGAGAGGAGAGGAAGGGAGAGTCTCCTTCCACCCACCCTGTAGAAAAAGTTTAATTCAGGCGCTTTAGGAACAAACTCAGAGACGGGCTTGGAAGGCTGCTGCTAAGCCTCACCTCTTTGGGCGTTGTACTTTCCCTGTTCCTTGTGTCAGAGGAGTCTGCGGTGCTGGAACCCTCCAGGGGTCTGTCAGAGGACGACGGCTCCTCAGTGGGATGAGTCGATGGAGACCCCGTGTGCCCTGAAGGTTCGGCTTCGAAGGAGAAATGACTGTTGGCCGCCGCTTGTTTCTCTCTTTCCTTTTCCCGCTCCTTCTCTCGCTCCCTGTCTTTTCCTCGCCCTCCTCCGTCGTAGCTGCCTACAGGAATTGTCGCCACGGTTGCTTTCACTTTCTGAGGGAGCCTGACTGGAAGCTGTGGTAGCTTAGGTGTGCTGCCTGTTAACGAGAAAATGTGAAGTTTTACAAACCAAGTTTGGTTTCCTTACTGTGTCATGAACAGAACTGGCTGTCCTACCAGGTGCTTGGATCTGAAGCGGAGGACTGCAGGACCTTGTAGACACAGCTGAGCCACTAGGAGGTGCTGCTGAGCTGTTACTGTTGGATGCGGTGGTCTGCCTCTCTGAATGTGCCAGGATGTCCACCTGGCTGTCGCTCTGGCGATCGGCGGATCTGTCCGGAGGCAGATGCCTGTCCACCTGTCGCTCCAGGTGGGGCTGCGAGTGGAGGACTGCAGAGGGGGGAGCAGCGTGTTTGGGTAATATGTGGGGCGAGGAGCTTGAAGGGCCCGAGACTGAGTAGACCACGCTGGGGGGCATCTGTGCCATTGAGACCACCCCTGATGCCATGCTGACGTTTTGTGATGGAGGGTAAATGGCGGTGACTATCTGGCCCCCGGAGACGGAGGCAGGGGCAGAGGTGGAGGGTTGAGGGGACTGAGCTGTGGCGAGGAGCGGCGGCTGACCTGAATAAGAAAACTAATTATTAATACATTCCCTCTCTGCTCCATTTGTCTCCAACAGCTCACTCGTCTCATTTATTTTAACTTTACCCAAAAAAGCTGGTTTATTATAGAGTTTATGCTGAAATCTACTCTGGATGACATTTATTCCACAAATGATTGATGTTTTTAAACACCGACAGCCCCCAAAATGATTATTTTCCCAAAACTGCCACATTTTGACATTTAATTCATCAAGAATAAAAAAAAAAAAATACCGTTAGAAAATAAAATTTCATTTTTACACAACAAAAGTAGCAAAAACGTCTCAATCCAGATAAGATGAGCATTTTTTCTCTGATCAGACATTCATGTAAAAAAAAAATAAGATCAGTGGAGACATTTATGACATTACCAAGCTGATTTTTTTTTTGTTTGTTTTTAGGTAAAATCTGTTTTACTATCATAGGAAACTTTGAGTCAGAGGTACAATAGGAGGTACTGGTGCCTCCTTATTTGTCTGCAATGTCAGCTTTTTATAATCAATTCAAATGATGAGACCTAATATCAGTAATAATGAAAGAAAAGGTTAAGATAAAACCATCTTTATTCATAGATTTATAAAAGAAGCGGCTGACCTAAAGCGAAATGGGGGGTGTATTAATCAAAACATTTTGCTAAGGCTCATTTGACCTTTAACTAAAGTTCAGATGACTGAGATAAATCATTGACACAGAGGAACAGAGATTTTTGACTTCATGTCTCTCCTGACCTGCGATCAGTGGCTGAACCAGTGTCTGTCCAGGTGGTGCGATGGCTGTAAACCCGAGTGTTGCTAAAGGCGAGGGAACATATGCAGATCCAGGCACTGGTAGAGTCTGCTGACTGGGAGAGGAGCCGGTTGTTGTAGAGACTAGAGGCAAAGTGGATGGGACCCCTGAGGTGGGCTGGACATAGGTAATCCTGTACGGGAAGCACAGAGATAGAAATAATCAAACTATGCTCGCCATAAAAGACTGCAGCAGTGAGGTGAACGCTTGTAATAAAATAAAGGGAAGTGTAACGGCAGTAGCAGATGGTGTAATAGTAAAATAACAATGCAGAACCACAATGCAAGGAACAGAGGCATGATTAGAAAGAAAGAGGAAGGTAAAAACAGAAGTGCTACAGAGAGGGTCAGTCGATGAGTGCACACCACAGCAAGTAGCTCTAGATGACTAGTGCTGTGAGGAGCTGAGAGGTAGTGTGGGGGTGGGCAAACAGAGGCAACTCAGGCCACCAGCGGCATGACTAACGCATCCAGAATAGAGCTGCAGTCCAACTGCTGCACCCCAACAGGAATTTAGTCTCTTGCATTGTCTGCTCACTGAGCCCTGTAAAAATCTATCAATTCCTTCAACGCAGCACAGTTTCCTGAGCTCTCATTTATTACCAGGTCCACTGCGTTTACTTTCTCAGGCACTCCCCTTTAGGACTCAACAAAATGATGTTAACGTCAATCAAGAATAGATTGCCGATATCTGGACTAGTTAAAAAAGGAAGAGGGATGAACCAGGGATGGCATAAGACCTATGAGTTGATGGCCACTTATCAGGGCCGTGTCAAGCTGATTTATACATTTAGCGCTGGCAGACATCTGATCTGTGACATCTATGGGGTTAATCCGACCCCCTCTGGCATCGATCTGCCTTCCTACATTTCATCTCTAAAAATGACGGTTATAGATCCAACCAGTTGGGGGGTAGGCCTACTCAAAGGATTGTTTGGGTTTCTCACAGATTCAGGTACCAAAGGAAAACAACAGAAAAAGGAGATTATTTTTTTTATTTGTACATCATCCTGTGTATCTGGTTCTTAATCACTTTATTGAGATAAAAGCCCATTTTGCTCCACTTGATAAACAGCCATTTGGCATCAATTTACTCTAAAGATTAAAATGAAAGTAGAAAAACTTGTTAACTCAAACAGTAAATTTATTTCAAACAGGCTGAGATTAGCTGGAAAATTGTTGGTCCGTTATAACAGATTAATAAAAATGAAAAAATGGATCAACTGATGGTAACTAGGGTTTATTTCTTAAACGAGTCTTATAAAGTTAGTCACACCCCTTCATCTTTCCACTTTGAGCCTCAATGAAACCAGAACTTTACCTAAGGAAAATAGGGCAAGGTAACAGGTTATTTTAGAAATAAAGAATAAAAAAAGTGCAGGACTTACCTGTATCTTTGCTACAAATTTAAACATCTAATCAAAGATTTTCATAAAGTCAACAAAACATCTTAAAAACAGATGGGTCCATGACCATTCTGATCTAAACTATCCCTTTCTAGCCCAGACCGTAAGTTCAGGGAAGGTTCCTTAATTCTCTAACAGCCTTTAAACAAGTGTTGCCATGTAATTAACTCCATCCATCCTCCCATTTACTTTGACTATTCTCCCAGAGAGTGCAGTTTTTGGCCTCATCTGACCATAGCGCCTTCTTCCACAGACGTCCTATAAATTTCTTATGGGAAACTTCCCAAGAAAATGATTATTTTCTTTTATACAGCGTCTTTTCTGCAATATAAGGCCCTGTCTGCACAACTAATATTTTTCCTGTTCATGGATTTCCTAATCTCAGCTGTGGACATCTAAAGTTCCTCTAGAGAGATATCTGGTCTCTTGGCAGCTTCTCTGGTTTTTGTTCTCCTCATCTCACCAGTCAGATTAGGTGGACAGTCGTCTCTTTGTTTGTGAAAAGTCGCCGTCATCGTTCGGATGAAATAAAAGCGCTTCATAAGAAGTTTGGATTGTTATCATAACCTAACCCTGCTTTGAATGTCTATGTCACATTAGACCCATAGTGTTCCTTAATCTTCATTATGTTTGTTGACTTAGAGTTGTAGATGCACTGAAAAAAAATAAATCACAGATAGACACCACTGATATATTACACTGCAAAGGCAACCGAGCACACTGGTATTTATTTAGGACTACTAGAGTGAGGCAACTATAAAAAAAAAAAAAAAAAACAGATTTTAGTCAAAATATGTCAAAAATCAAAGCCTAGAAAAATGAAATTAAATATTTTTGATGATGAAAAACCTATTAATTCTTATGTTTCCTTTACTTTCTTCTTTCAAAGAACGGATATCAGAACAGTTTTTTCTTCTATGCAAGGAGGGAATATTTGAACATATTTTTGACCATATGAAATATCTGGTAAACAAAGGCAAAATCAACTATTTTTGTTTTCCACGAGTAACAGAATGTAACTAATAAAAATAATTAACTAAGAACGTATTATTTTTTTAAAAGTGACTGATAAGATCTTTGTGCTCTGCAGAAGTCTCACCTAAAGTTCCTTGAGACTATGTATCTTGTAACATGTCAGGTGCTTAAACGTGTCATTGCTTACCTCGTGGGTGCAGGTGGCAGCAGCACAGCCTGGGATGGGGCTGATCCTGGCGTCACCACAGCTGCTGCTCCCAGTGTTACAGGGAAGGGGCTGGCAGGATGCACCGCTCCACCCTGAGGCAGCTGGGACTGGACCACTGGCATGGAGGCAAGGTGGTAGATCTAAATAAAAAGGTGCAGAACATGACAGACACAACAAGAGAAGCAGAAGATAGAAACGTGTGACAATCAGGTAAGCAGGGATGAGTCTGTGATTTTTCTGTTCCCTCCTCCGAGGGATTCTGACCTTGCTTCCAGCCTGTGCACCATTCTGGACAGGAAGGGATGGGGCAACAATGGGAAACTGCTGGGCAGGGGCTTGAGCAGTCCGAACTGTTGCCATGGGAACGAGCATTTTACCTGGGAGCACTTGAGGCTGGGTTTGCACTGATGGAGGAACAGAAGCATCGTCAGACGTCACAGAGGAAATATGAGACAGCGTGCAGCTTGTGGTTGAACTTTTACCTCTTGCTCCAGGGCTGACTACCCCCACCGCAGGGCTGGACGAATATCCTGTCTGTGAACCGGCACTCTGCTGCTTTCCATTGGCTAAGGATACATGTGTAGGTGGAGCTGTGGGCAGGTTGAAGATACTGGTTGGCTGGCTGTGATTCTGAGGTGGGCTCTTGGGGTTGGTGTTGGCAGGCAGGGTGGGCAGGATGTACTGAACTTGTGTGATGCCCTTGCCCCCGGTGGCGGCCAGAGATGAACCAGGCAGGAACTGGGGCTGAAGGAGGGACAGGGGACCGTTGCTTTGGCTGGGAGAGGCTGAAACAGCCGTGGAGGCTAAAGCCTGCTGGTGGGATGGCTGAGGGTGGGGGGGAGGGTTGATGAGCTGTAAAGCAGACTGAGCTGGCAGAGCCCCTCCTAAGACTAAATTAGTCACTACACTGCCTGCACCTACAGGACTTGGTGAGGATGGAGGGTAGTACCCGCCCCCTGTGGCTGGAGGCCCACCTCCTGCTCCTGGACTGAGAAGGATTTGGGGCTGCTGCTGAGGAGTCAGGGACTTTCTCTCTGGAGGATGGGGGCTTGATGAAGGGCCGCCATCTCTGGGTTTGCTGGCGATTGGTAGGGGTGTGCTGATAACAGGACGCATCACATTCGTCACTACTGTAGACGCGACCCTCACAGCTCCAACACCAAGAGCCTGGCTCCCTCCTATAGAGCCCACTGAAGAGGACGGAAGCCCTCCAGCTGGAGAAGTGGATTTGATTGATTGACCGGAAGAGATTGAGACAGAAGACGCCTGCATATTGCTTCCCTCGCTAACAAAAGTGTCTTTACTCTCTCCATCACTTCTCTCCTTTCTTCTGTGGTCTGAAAACCCTCCTACTCCAGATCTCCCCTCATCATAACGCCTGCTGCTGGGGAAAGAGGACAGAGAAACACTCCTGCCATGAGGGGTATGGTGTGAGGAAGACGATGATGCAGTGGAACAGATGACTGGAGCAAACACTCTCTAGGAAAAGAAAAAAGGGAGCAGAGCAGAGAGGTGTTACAGAGCAAATCAATCAGCAGGCAGGTAGAATACGCTAAATATAAACAACAACAGGAATGGTTTTGGTATACCTTCCGATCTCCTTCATCTCCTGAACCGTTCTCGCTGTCGCTGTCAGTCACGCGCTCCTTACACTTTAGGTCTATAGAGGTGCTGGGATAAGGGTCCTCTGCGGGAAAGCAAAACATGCTACAGCTACGGTTGGAACTCCTGGCAAGTTGTAATTATCAAATATATATTAACACATTGTTTTGATTATGTGTTAGAGATGCACAGAGGAAACAGCTGCTGGTTTTAAGGTATGACCAGTCTGCCGGAGATTCAAAAGATACAAACTCTCCATTGCTAATCTAACAAAAGCTGTTTATATAAATTTAAATAAACCTTTTTTCCCCCAAATATTCGCAGACATGATTGCATCTTATTTAGTCTGTGAAAAGGAGAGAGAGCAAGACTTTCAGCAGGTAACAGGAAGGCTGACTGCACAGCAGCAACAGCCATTAACCATCTTAATGTACAATTGTAATTACAAAAATGTATTTGCTAAAAAAAAATAAAAATATAAAGTTGGACTTTACAGCCTTGTAAAAAGACGAAGAAGAAAACCGGAAGCAGATGGAGGATGATGGCGCCCTCTAGAGCCATGGCTGAAAAATGGATATATCGCATCACATGTTTTAATCTGCCACTGCCATGGCCATGTTGTTTTCAGGGTTATCACGCAAACAAAAATATTCAGGCACAATTTCAAATGTATTTTTTTATTCAATGGAACTAATTGTCTAATTTTTTATTTTTTATTAGCAGATTATTGACATGGTTTCACATACATTTGTAATGGAAACGCAGTCAGTGTTGAGTTTTATCCCCTGGAATGTTCAACACTGTTTGATAGTGTTGGAATTCTTCTGGAAGTCTTATGGTCAAGGTAAGGATCTACATTCTCTCAAAATACACATGGAGTGTGCTTTTTAGTAAGGCTAGCATTGCTAATACCTAATATAAAATGCCAAGATGGTAGAAAACGTAAATATTGTTTGTATTTACAGCAGCTTCTTTCCTCATAGAAGGGATCAAATTGACGAGAAAACCTCTCTAGTCAGTCGACGCCAATACTGCTCAATCACGGCTTAAATTAAATCATCATAGAGCATATTGACTGATGCTCTCACTCTACTATTAGCTGCTGTTTCTCTACAGGCTGCTGATGAGCTACAAAAGCTTTAGCCATACAGGAAGCATTGAGCAGACACTCGGCCATTTCTTAATCTAATACAGCTTAATAAACAGAGCATGGCAGACTTCTCACCAATGACATCATCATCTCCTTCCTCCTCGCAGATGACCATGCGCTCTTCATCACTGGTCATGTCCTCACTGACCCCCCTCTGAGTGTGAGAGGGTGCAGGGGCGTGGCTGGGATACTGGCTGCCGCTGTCTCCACACATCTGGAAAACACCACATTAGAAGTTAATTAATGGTAGCTCTATGGACAACTGTATTATCAATTTATTCTGGATTTCCTTGAATAAATAAAAAATTAAAAAAACATCCCAGGGCTAGCAGTTGTCCTTCTTTACCTGGGCGAGTTCTGCTAGAGCTTGGGTGTTCCCCCTGTCCCCTCGCTCCAGGCTGTGCATGGCACTCTGGGAAAAGGCTCGGGGGCGGGTAAGCTGACCCACATGTCCCTCTCCTGTGCTCCTTTCCGATACACCCGCCAGACCTGGACCCACACCCTTCAGCTCCACAGAATGGGGCTCTATCAGAAGAAACGGCAGTAGTTAAAACATTTGATGGATAAAAACGACAGACATGAGATTTGCTGTGATAAGTGAGACTAACCTGTTGATTCTGACATGCTTCTTTCCCTGATGTCTTTGTTTCCAGGGACACCACGACCTTCGGAGCTGGACTTTTTCCTGTCTTTGTTGCACCATTTCCAGTCTGGGTGTGCTTTAAAGTGAGCCTCTTTTACCTAAAGTAAAAAGATTATAGTTCCTCATTTACAAAATTAAAATACATGAAATTTCCTTTCCATATGCTGAACTGTATACCTGGAAGGCCAAGTCATGGTACTTCTGCTTCTCCTTAGGTCCCAGGGCATACCACCACTCCCCAAGAATCTTGCTTACTGTCCTGTTGTCCTGGTTTGGATGGCGTTGATGCACTAATGCTCGATGACGCTTACTAAAAATCATAAATGCATTCATTGGTCGCCGGATGTGGTCCTTCTCCCTCTGAAAGAGTGGGCAAGAAAATCAGAGAAAAATGAAATGACTTACTTAGGTCACAGAACAACTGAGACTTTTGATTCTGGATGGCATCATAGGAAATACCTTTCCTGGACTGCTCTTGTCTCCATCTTTGGGCAGTGCACTGAGAGACTGAGTGCGTCGCTTTACTGGGGATGTGGAGAGAGGCTGCTCTGGTACAACTCCTGGGAGGAAGCTGAAAGAGAGGAAACAATCCTTGACTATACAATTTACTTTATATTTTCTTTACAAATATTGTTTCTAGAGCAGAAAACATTATTGATCGCATTGATTGTGATGAATCAATTGTTTAAAATTATTGTTAACTAATTTGGTAAAAGAATCACTACTTAGGGTAATGGAACACAGTGGAGCTGTGACTAACTTTTTTTTTTTTTTTTATCGAGTAATACATTGATTATTTTTTTGATGAATCGATTAGTAACCGGATAGCAAAAGGGTTCTTAAAGAAGACGTTTTCACAAAAATTAAACCAGTGAAATTAAAACTTTTTCCCCTTAAGGAGTTCTGGACAGAGCATATTGACAGACGAAAACATTATTTTTTAATCTTACAAGCAAAATGTTTACATGTTTGTTTTACAATTTTGGCTTTAATTACTGCTCTAACTGTCAGGTAAAGGCACGTTTTACAGTCTCTACACTGTTAATAAGTAATTGATTACTAAATTAGTTGACGATTATTTCAATAGTTGATTAATCATGATTAATCCGATAATTTTTTTCAGCCCTTCAACACAAATGCTAAAACATGCCATTTCTGAAAGAATAACCTTCTTTCAGCAGTAATTAAGACCAAAATCTACAAACAAGATTGAAAATAGCTGATAATGAATTCATCACTAAAATAATCAATAGCTGTAACCCTAATTTTTTTTATTCAAGCTTCAGTATGTCTCTTTTTCTATTTCAATTTAATCTGAAAAGCTAATGGACAGAACGCTCATCTATTTCAAAGGCTGACAGCTGATCCAATGCCTTGCATATAGTGATAGAGACCAAAGACAGAAGGCTTTGTTCCTATCTGCTTTGTTCTGGCACTGAGCTACTCTGCCTAAATTAGAGCAAGGATGCAGAAAATATCCCTCTCACTTACTTTCTGTAGCTACATAACACTGCAAAAAAATAAAAAAATGACTGTGAAGGCAGGCTCAGACAGTTTTATAACTGATTTAACAGATGGACAGGTTGGTGTTTGTACATCTATCCACCCCTTCACCAGCAAAAATGGACATGAAACAAACAGGAGGACTGCTCTTACGGGTCGTCTACGTCGCTCTCGGTTTCACTGTCGGGCCTTTCCCTCTCCGCATCCCCTTTCTCCTTCTCAGGAAGAGGCTCTTCAGAGGAGGGTGGGGGCCTGGATGGGGGACCTCTCTCTACAGTGGGAGGTGCCTCTGCAGGCTCTTGTGAGAGCGCTGCCACCCCCTGACAATCTGAGGGAAAACAATGCCCTTAGAGAGGGAAATAAGAAGATTGAACTAGATGATGTAATAAAACCAACAATATCACCTATTCAACAACTGTTTACCTGTCTTCAGACTGGTTGCTTGAGGGTGGTTGACGGGATGCTGGCCCTCACCTGGATGAGATGGAGCATCTGACTGGGTGGGTGCCAGAAAAGGAACCAATGAATGCCAGGGGAAGACTGGAACTGACCGTGGTTCTACATTGGTCCACACTGCAGAGGAAGAGGGCAGGATAGAGATGCATGATAACACCTGCAGCCACATGTGTTACAATGATGTGAAACTAGATTTAAAGGAAGAAAACTTTAAATCTGAACTTTAAAGGTTGGTTGCTTTATTTGGGGTCCAGCTAACCACATCTAAAAACATTTACGCTAATGGGGCATTCCAGACCCACTCAGCTGATTTCTTAATCAGTCTGGAATGTAATAGTGAAACAAATTTCTATATTTCTACATAGATCAACTCCCAGATACAAAAACATTAACTATCATATTTTTCACACACAAAGAAAAATGTTTTTTTTTTTTCTTTTTAAACCCATTGACTGATTAATATCTAAAGATGTAGAAAAATATCCACCTTAAAAAAAAAAAAAAAACTGAAATAGAAAATCAGTGCTAGCAAAGAAGCAGGCTTCTTTTTACTTAGCTAGGGAACACAGCAGATGTACAAAAGGACTTTCTGTTCCCAGAAACAAACTGGATGGACAACAGAAGCTGTTAGACTCCATTATGTCTGAGCAGGCATAAATGAATAAAAGCCTAAATCCTTATCCACACAAAAACACTAAACATGAAGCAACAAAATGAGTATCCAAAAGTAAGAACAAACTTAAAGGCTGCCTTAGCATGATAAAATAAAAGCAACATGTGTTCAGATTTGGCAGAAAAAGACATTCATGTTCAAAAACAAGAAAAATGGAACTTTACTGACCAAACATGCTTAATCCTTGGCGGATGTACTGGGGATTCTCTGAAGAGAACATAATTGAATACTTGATAGGTCTCCAAAAAATCAAAATCAAAATCAAATAGAAGACCGACAATGATATGGTCTTTTAAAAAGAAAAATCAAGGCAGGATGACATCTGTCATCCGGAATCTGGTGTCGATAGTGCTGGGAAGCTCTCAGATGACGACATGAGCCTCAGTCTGAATCACTTTCATCCTTTCAGGTCATTCACAATTATTATAACATCATAACCCTGCATGCTGAGAACTTCATAGTCAGAGGTACCCCGTTTGCATTTCAAACACAACACTTTAGTCCATATATCGTATCGCAGAATGCCGCAATCTTGCGCACACGAAGCAAACCAACATCAGTGGACAGAATGTACAGTATATATATAAAAAAGACTATTTAAATCAGATTTTAACGACGTAAAGTCAACCCGAAGGGGATAAGAAATATGACTGAAGGCAAAGATCCAGCTCCCTTTGGTCTAATTACCCCCGATGCCCTCTCTCTGTGTTTGTTTACATTACTATAGCAGCTTGGTCAGGAAGGAGTTAACGAGGCCTCAAGCCCATCCACGGCCTGGGTTACAACATCCAACCGGGAACTACGCAGTCTTTCTGGCCCATGTCAAACTGTGCCCGGCGCTACATTTTACCTGCAGACAGGTGGGTTCTGGGGGAGGAGGGGGGAGGATCATGAACCCCCGGATTCATGCAGCTCAAAGGGCTTAATGGAGGACAGCACTGTATCAGACTAAAGGCTGGAAACGATCGACTGAAGCTGATGTGATTGCTGTGTATTCTTAGTTGTAGGAGTTAAGAGCGCCTTGCAGTAACAGCGTTAGTCCCTTTTTTAAAGTCTATTAATTTCTACCTAAACCCCCCTGGGGAAGCAGTTTTAGCCGCCTCTCGTAATAAGAGCAGCCTCGGTTGCACCGCTCCAGATTGGACCGACCTCCCGGGAACGCCCCTGGTCGTGCACCCAGCGCACAGACACAGGCAAAAGAAACGCAATTGTTCTCATCCCAGCTGCGGAAAAACAAAACAAAAAGGTGTATTCACACAATCTTAAAACAATCCTACCACCTCTGTTCTGCAGCACTCACAAAGAGTGAGCCGCTTCCCGTAGCACTGCCTCCTGCACCTGTTTTGACCTGATAATTAGCTTTAAAGATCCTAACCCAGCTATATAGGAGCACCATCCAAGTGTGGGTCTAACCGTAAAAGAAGCAGGCATGAGAGGATGCCGTAAATATGGTGCACTCATCCATCACACCGTGCTTGTGATTCCGCTATCCATCAGTTTGAGCCCACCTATTACTAACAAAACGGAGAATTAATACAGTTTCTGGTGGAGTAGCTTGTATCCTACCTGGCCTATCCGGCCGCAGACCTTAAGCTACCAACAGATATGACTAGAAAACAGCGATAGAACCAAACGGTGAAGACTCTTGGCTCCAGTAAGCGAACAGAAAAGAGAAGGGGAGGGGGTGGGGGGTGAATCGCAGTATCTTGTATTTTCCTGACTCCTTCGCTCCTCCTGTCAATATCTCAAGCCAGAGAACCGGAGGTTGGCATTTAACTCCCCGAATTCCGAGTAAAACTCGCCTCCAGCCAGGGGCTTTAAAAAATAAGCGCCTTGTGGTTGAAGCCGACAGAGCTCGTCTGCAGCAGCAGCAGGTTAGCTAACACTTGGTGCGGACGACACAGAAGCGCACCCGGTCCGGTTCGTGTAGCAGTTGCTTTTACGAGTGCTGTTTTGGTCCAGAAAAGTCCGCGCATCGCATCTCCAAAGCGCTCTGCTAGAGTTAACTCTTTTATTTTAGCCTCGTCCTCCTTGCTAAGCCTTTCTTTCTCTTTCCCTCCCTCTTCCTCTTGTTGTAAACTAGGCTGCCTGCCCCCCTCCGTACTTGTTCCCCCTCCCCTTCCTTCTCATCCTGTCAACCTCGCCCAGCCTTGCCTCGCCCACTTTCCAAAACAAGTTTGGTGATTGGGTGAGTCCGCTGTCTGTCAAAGCTCCACCAAGAGCTCTGATTGGTTGAGCCGTGCGCTGGAATGCCAGTCATATGCAAATCGTACTAGGCTCTACCGCGGCAAGTTTTTCTCATATTGACATTTGAGCCTAAATCATTAATAAACAACTATATGGAAAGAAAATAAATCTTTCTTTTTTTAGCCTCGTCAGTGCCCACATCTAGCATTTTTGTACCATTTCAAAAGTGCTTATTTTTTAGTGTCTTCATCTTTAGGCCCTCCCCAAGCTTGTGTCACTGGCGGAGATGTTGTAGTAAACCTTAAGTGATGTTCAATGGAGCCAATCAAAGGCCGACACTAAGATTTAGGCCAACCAATGGTTTAATAGATTTAATAAGATCCCTCCCCATTACACATCCTGTGCCCCATCTTAATACACCTAAAGACCATCTATACAGTGAGGCGCCAGTGATGGTATGGCAAACTATAATAATATTTAATACAAAACATGGCAAACCATAATGATATTTCATACAAAACAGAACCTAATTGTAAAATTTTAGATAGCTCAAAGCTGTGATTTATGACTTTTTAATGTGAGCCAAAAAAAAAAACAAACAAATATATATATATTTTTTTAGCCATCTAAAGGTAGACTGGGAATGTGCTTTAGACTGTCCTGAAAGCCAAACATAGTAACTTACAAACTGGCTGCGCTTTCTCGCTCAGGATTTTCTGGTAGAGAGTAGAATTCATGGTTTCATCAATTAGGATACAACGACTATCAGTTTTTACTTTTAAACCAAAATAAAAGTTTCTCATTCAAAAAGGACGGGCGGCTCATGGCATATTTACACAAGATGCAATGGGATGCCCTCCTCCCAAAGTTGCCACACTGGTCTACAGTTGGTATCTCCAACTCAAGTCCTTGATATGTACTGCCCTGCAACTTTTCAGTACTTTTCCCTGCTCCAACACAGCATGTCATCAAGTTTGGCAAATGTCTAGTAATGAAGTAATCATTTGATTCTGGTTTGCTGGAACAGGCCTACATCCATTTACCACAAGGCATTAGATTTCAAGAACTGGACTTGGAGACCCCTGGTCTACAGAGTACTTTCTCAAAAATCTTGCTGAATGTTCAGATCTCTTCTGGCAAACTTTGAGTTGTTTAAGTCAAAAGTGATTTATGGATAGAAACCCTATCCAAAGAAGGCAATAGGCAATCCACTCCCCCACCCTTGGATGGATGCTAATTGGAGCTGTGCCATGTTAAGTTTTTAAACTCCTTCAAAAGGTATGTAAAACTCGGATGTGTGGCCTATACATGTATTTTTTAAATACACTGTCAACCACTGATTTATTTATATACTTTAATAGACATTAGTGCAAAAAAGAAAACAAAAAGGAAAACCAATAACATATGATGAACTACTTAATCACACTAGATTTTTGATTGATTGAATCTAAATATGCTGTTCCATTATCTCCAACTACTTCCGGTCTTCTTCTTGATCTTTTTACAAAGGAGTAACGACTAGTTGTCTATCAGGTGACTTGTGTGATGCGAAAAATATATAAGAATTTCGATACAACTGAAAAACCACCTCATCGAGGCGTAAAAACTTTATTAGAAAAATATGTGTTCTTGCAAAAGTGTTTCCATTTGGTAAATTTATTTTGTTATTACAATTTTTGCAATTTGATATTTAAGCTGTTGATGCCTATCCAACAATTATTAGGAAGGTTTTCTTCCACTCCACATGCTTTATACATTTGTGGAAAATGGCTCTGGTGACGTTTAAAAAACAGACAGATGTGTGGCTACTAGTAATATTAAATATTACATATGGAGTTTTCTTATTATAAATGAAAAAAATATAAATGATCACCAAGGATCTCTCTTTCTAATATAATATTGCATTATTGGATTCCTATCAAAACTATTGATAGATTAGAGACGCCCCTATTACAGAGAGAGTCATAACAAAATTCCTTCTAGTCAAAATCTAATCAATGAAATGCTACTTTTGAATAGAAAGGATGTCTTTCTATATGTCTAAAAAAATAAATTCTGTTAAGACTGGGTGTTGCAGTTGTTGATTTTTGCTTCTTTGAGTATAAAATCCCAGGCCTAGGGTCTTATGTATGCTGTCCATATATAAGCATGAGTCTCCCCTGGCACATAAAACATCCCTGTTATATTAGGCCCCGTCCACACGAAGTCAAAACAAACACGAAACGCTAATATTTTCCAGAACGTTTGTCGTAAAGAC